AGACTTGTAACATTAACTGAAAGTCTGCCAAATTTCATGAAGATGTACTCACTATATTGAGAGTTATAAGTATTAAATCTATAAAGACTTTAAACAAGTACAAAAAAGTCACGTGGTCAGTCAAATTGATCAAGCTCGTATTGAGAATGTTAACTCTTTCAAGACGGGTCATAGATGAAAGGCCATATCATCTCGTTTATTGACTTGCATGCAAAATTTTATTAAACTACTATTTCATGAATTTATGTCAGTAAGTTTGGTATCAAACTGTAGATAATTCATATTTAAGTACTATATATTACTCAATTTCTTAATTTAAAAGCAAAAAAACAAAAACAGGTAAACATCAATTTTTGTGTGTCACGTGGAATGTTAAATGCAGCACTGGTTCAAATTTGCTAAGATATTGCTCGTGTAATAAATCAAACACAGTGGCACCCCTCCCATTTCTTTCCATTTTTGGAAATATTCACTTATATACACTTACTTCTATATATGACATGAATAACCAATCAGAACTTCAGAATGTTCCACTAATGGCTTTCTCAGCCATTTTAACAGACTTGGTGCCATTTCTTTCTTTTGAACCAATATTTCAATGAGGTAGGGTGTGTCTTTATTATGCTTGAAATTTAATATATTTTTAGACTAAAATACATCTTAGTTACTTAGCTTGATAAATTGTTGTGGAATTCTGTGGTGTTAATGTAGTAATTTATGATTTTTTAGTTATTCAAATGTATATATATAAAACCTACAAAAAGTATTTTGTTTCATATCCTCCACATGCTAATTTTTTAAAGGCTTAGCAACTGAGTACAAAGGTTGTAACTAGAAGTGATAATTGTTTGCTTTTTATTTAGTTACAGTTCTATGTTTTAAGAAAAATAAGTTTAAGAACTTATTTCAAAATAACAATAATCTATACACTCATATAATGTATAATAAATGAAACGTGACTGTATTTTACAAAATACTAGTCTACTAGACGAGTTACTTTGTACAGACCAAAGGTCAGTTTTATATTATTCGATACGGTAACAGGTGTGCAAGTGAGCCACGTCATTGTAACTTCTGTATTGTTAGCCAGACATGGCTGAAAGGTCAGTATAATAAAAATAATAAATATATATATATAAATGTATAATGTTATGAGATTTAAGCAATTTAGTCTAAACATTTATGTTTTTGTTTTATAATTTCTGTTCATTCTAGAATAAAAGAAGCATAATTTATATTTATTTCCTAATTTTTTATGGTGGTTGTGAGATGGCTAAATCTACAGAACCCATACAAAGATTAATTACTGTAAAATAACAGATAAAATATAAAGTTTTTCTTAAGAATAGTTTGATACTATTTGGACAGTTATA